GTCTTTAGTGTTTAGTGTATCAAATCTGTTCTTCAGGTGATCTCTAAATTCAGGTAGGATATATTCAAGATCATATTTTGGCTCTCGTGGACTTGTTTTCATTTTCTTCAACTTCAGCTTGAATTTGCATATGAGTAATTGATAGTCTGTTCCACAGTCTGCCCCTGGACTTGTTTTGACTAATGATGTGAAGCTTTTCCATTGTCTCTTTCCACAGATGTAGTCAATTTGATTTCTATGTATTCCATCTGGTGAGGTCCAGGTGTATAGTCATCTCTTATGCTGTCTGAAGATGGTATTTGAAATGAACAAATCATTGATTTTTTAGAATTCTATCGATCGTTCTCCAGCATCATTTCTATCACCAAGGCAGTATTTTCCAACTACTGATCCTTCCTCTTTGCGTCCAACCTTTGCATTCCAATCACCAATAATGATCTATATATCTTGATTGCATGTTTGATCAATTTCAGATTGAAGACATTGGTAGAATTCTTCTATTTCATCCTCACTGGCTTTAGTGGTTGGTGTGTACCTTTGAATAATAGTGGTACTAACTGGGCTTCCCTGTAGGTGCATGGGTATTAGCCTATCACAGACAACATTGTACCTCATGATTGATCTGGATGTGTTCTTCTTGACAATGAATGCAACACCATTCCTCTTAAATTTGTCATTTCCCAGCATAGTATCCCTTGTGGTTATCAGATTCAAAATGGCCAATACCAGTGCATTTCAACTTACTAATGCCTAATATATCAATTAAGATTTCCCGAAGCTATGCCACGATTTTATAATTATATTTTGCAATAATATTTATAAATTTATACCCATTTTTATAGTGTCATTTTATAGTTTAAAATTTTGAATCGACTCTTAAAATGAATCATTATTGTATTATTTAAAACTTTAAATTGTTGTGTATTCAGGAATAAAGATGCCTAAAACTTTGTACCAAACAAAATTACAATATATTTCCTAGTAATTTTTTTTAAAACTGTCTTCAGGTAATTGCAAGAGCTCTAAAAGGATCAAATAAGTAATTACTTTCCATAGGACCCCCTGTTTAGTAGCAATAATCTATAAATTTAAGGCAGTTTCAGCTCATAGGTTTTACCAAACTGTGAGCTGCAGCCTTTGAACTGCTGATTATTTATGCTGTTGATGAGAATGTGTGAAGCAAGTCAGTAAAGAGATAGTATAAAATAATCTGAGTAGGATTTGTGGCAAACAGGGAAATGTAAAAAAAAAAAAAAAAAAAAAAAAAAAAAAGAGGTTTTCATAAAGAATTTTAAAACCAGTGATTGATTTTTAAGGTGAATTTTAGGGTGAACTACTGTCTTATAGTTCAGTAGTGTCTAATGATCTGATGTCTTGATTATTCACAGTTGCTTGTCTTTTCCTTTTTATCTTATCCCTTTGCTTGCCCCCAGCCACAGATTCTATAAAATCAACCCTATAATTTCTACAGTCTTTTCTCTATCACATATAAATGAAATCTATATCCAAAGAATATATTTGTGCAAGCACAGCATATTTACTTTTTTTTCCAATCTACCAGTTTGTTTCTATTCAAGATGAGTAAAAGTATGGTTATTTATCTATCTCCTGTACTTTTAATAAATGGATGGATAACCAAAGGAAAGGCCCAACTGCTTTGTTTTGCAAATGCTGACAATAATTGGATTTGCTTGCCATCATAATTTGTTAGGAAACACAGAATGATATAACAGATCTTCTTTTGTTGGTGGAGAAAATGATGTTCTTAAAATAATGATTTAATTTGGGAAAGAAAGTAATGCTTAAACATTAATTGAGCAGAAGTGTGAAAGAAGCCAATAATATGGAAGCACTAATGTTAAACCAGTTCGTATTTTCTCCTTCTTCTCTTAGGTTTGCTGAATTCTTATTTACCGAGGAATTCAAGGCTGGGTCTCGAGTCCTTGAAAGTATATACAGCTTGTATGAAGGCTTCTCTGGGACAGTGTGCTTTCTGATTGATCTGCTGCAACCCAGTCAGGCTGAGTTCCCCCTCTTCAGTGTGTTTGTTTAGAAGGGCTCACCTTCCATTGTGGCTCTGCAGAAGGCCCCTGATATTGTCTGAGCCTACCTGAGGCAGTTTCCACATAAACCACATTCAATGGGATCACAGCCATGAGCCTTAACATTGCTGCCAGGAGAAAAGGAACAGGCAGGTGAAGTCTACTTGATATCAGACTTGAGAGAGCACAATTTAAGGATCTGAAGAATAAAAACACCATCACTCTTGTAAAGACCCTAGAAACTCAAAATTTTAGGGAATAAATGTTAAATCAGAGGTGAGGGGCAAAAGGGGAAAAAAACAGATCTGTTTTTCAGGTATGGCAGAAAAAAAAATCTGAAGTATTGACTATGGCAATAAACTATCAATCCATTTGAAATTAGAGAGAAAATTTAACTATTGGTGGGTGCCCTCCTCCCCTAAATTCAAAAATAAAAACAATTGAAAACTAAATTGTTTGCTCAATTCAAAACTATTAGGAGGGATGAAGTGTCAGTTTGTTGAAGGAAGTAAAATAAAACTCTTGATTGCCCTAAACAGTTCCTTATTGAAATTCATGGTTTTTGTTCACTCATAGAGGTGGTTGCATGTGGATATCTATTTTTTATCATTACTCTGGGCACTTTAAAGAAATTGTATCATAATTTGGTTGGAACCATGAAGTTTGAAATGTCTTTAGTCCTTAGAACATCTCTTTTCCTGGTTCTTTTCTAGTTCATAAAACTCAATTCAAATAGTAAATATCATAAACTAGCAAATACTGTAGAACGTGTTGTTGTCAAGTGTTTTTCTCAATTTGAAATGTGAACCGTATGTACTGCTGTTTATTGTTAGTACTTCTTAAAATGTCTTTATGTATGTTGTCCCTGTTAGGCTATTAGCTGAAATGTAAAATATAGTCTTGGTAAAAATCACTCATTTCAAACATCATGGTAACCACTACAAAGACACCATTTCTGCATTTAATGGAATAGTGTGACCCCTGGAACAGGCAGAGAAAGGGATCAATGGTTGTGGAAATAACATTTCTAAATTATACACTTTTAGCGTAAAAAATGAGTGACCTCTCTGGCTGATCACCTTACCTTACAAGACACAGAGTCCACTAGAAATTGAGTACAATATCCATTGAGTCAGATTGTCATATCAAATGCATCTCTGTTGTAAACATATGTAAGTTGTAAAACTACTTCAAGTAAACAATGGTTTTCAGAACACTGTGGGAACATCATCACTTTAATACTCAGAACATAGCTTTTTCCTTTTTTTAGAATTTAGGCAGTGGAATTTTACATATCAGAATATAATAGATAATAGTTTTAAATTTATCCCCAGGTAAAACCAAACACTTTTTCTTTAGTTCAGTGGATCCTAACTCAAACAATAGTTGGACTTTGGGATAACTTGGGAAATTCTATGTTGCCTGAAAATGTCTTTTGTGTATGTACTGGTGTTTGTATGTGATATGTAGTCTCTTATTTCTGGAAATTTCACTAAATGATGAAAGGACTCCATGACCCAAGAAAGGTAAGAACTGTTTTTAACATATTCTATGACTCTGTATGTCTACATTCATCAGAACAACCTAGGACAAAATGGTTTTGAAATCACATACTTTTTCAGATTATTGTTCCATTCATATTTTCACTTCCTCAGACACAAATGGAGTCCTGGTGTGGTGCTGTAGGATAAGCACTGGACTGTCAGCTATAAAGTTGGCAGTTCAAACCCACCAGCTGCTAGTCAGGAACCCTATGTAGAATTGCTATGAGTTGAATCTGACTGTATGACATTTAACAACAACAGACAGAAACATATAAAATTGGCCTCAATTGTTTAGTTTAGAGACGACTCAGTTTGGGGACAATATCACATAAATAGCTTTCAGATGACTCCCAAAAATGGGTTCTAGAAGTTCTTTCAAAGCCAAGTATCTCTTAGAAACACTTTAGGCAAAATACCTCCTACAAAGTAATCTCTTTTTGAAATGCTAGTAATAATCTGCTTTTCACCATCTGGTTTCAAATTAATATCACTTGATGCCTATACACTGAAGATTGTAACCATATAATGGTATATTGTATAACCATACAATAAACAGGGTTTATGAAACACATGCTTTTTTTATCATCCCATAATTCCCTGAGGTGTGTTAGATCCAAAGTCTCACAGCTATTAAGGGACAGAACTAAGAGTCAACCTGAGGGTTTTATTTTCTAAGTATATTTACTCAGTATTCTAAACTAGAATCTGGTGATAAAGTCATAAACCAAGAAACTAGAAGCCTTCTGTCTGTTTGCTGATCCTTCCATCATTTATCCTTGATATTTACACCAGAAAGCACTAGAAAGGAGCGCTTGACAGCTAACCTAAAGGCTGACTTGAATCCATTCATTGGCTCTCTGGGAAAAAGACATGGCAATCTGCTTCTGTAAAGATTACAGCCAGGAAATCCCTATAGGGCAGTTCTACTGTCACATGGGGTCACTAGGAGTCAAAAATGACTAGAAGGAACCTAACAGTAACAAAACACTGGAAATGATAATACAACTTTCAGCATATCACAGCTTCATTTCTAGGAACTACAAAAAAACTGAACGTCCTTCCTGATCACCTGTCCTTTTTTATAACTAATTGGGTGACCATGACTCTGTGATGAATGTTGCAAAAATGCAACCCTTTCGTGTGTCAAATCCATGCAAGTTATATGGTTCAGTGCTCACTTTATGAAAGGATACCTCAATGAATTAGAAACAAGAGTAAGCTTTTTTATTTCTTCAACATGTTCTTGAAATTACTATTTTCTAATAGGTTTGGGATGATCCTCTTCTGTATTGTTTTCCCAAGAAGTTGTTGTTGTTAAGTACTGAGGAGCGACTAGTGAATTTAAAACTCCAACCTTGAGGTTCAAATTGATCTTTTGGTCCAGGGCATCATCCTGCAGCACCACATCAGGACTCCCTCCTAATAAGAGGTGGGGGGGGGGGCGCACGGGGAGCGGGTGGAAAAAAACATTAATTTTACTGTAAAAAAGTATGACGTGTCACTTCTTATTTAATTAACCAAGGTATTTCCCTCTATGTAGTAACATTCATTTTTTAACAGTACTTCAACATACTGTCTTTTATAGACCTTGGGGAACATTTTTACCACTATAGTATAACTTTGGAGATGCTGGGTGGTATAAATGGGGTAACAGCCCCAACTTCTAACCAAAACGTTGGAGCTTCTAACCAAAAGGTTGGAAATGTGGTTAAGTCCACCTTAGGGGCACCTGATCGTGTACTACCAATACACCAGTCATTGAAAATCCTATGTAGCCCGAGTTTACCCTGATACACTACACATGGGGTTGTCCTGAGTCAGAGTTGACTCCTTCATAGGGATTTTAATATCATTATATGTACCACAAGCAATTATGAAACCTGCGGGAAAGAGCAGAAAGGTTTGAGTCTACATTGAGAGTCTCTCTACAATGGTAAGATTGCATTCTATTTTGAGAACAAGGAGATTTGTAAATTATTAGAATTCTACACGATTTTGTTTCATTAATGTCATTACAGACTTCTCTTCCACACTCCCCTGTAAATGTTGTACATCTTTATTTTACCCAACCCCTTTGCATTAAAAAAGAAAAGAAAAGAAAAGAAAACCAGACCATGCATAATTTTGTTCTTTTTGTTGTTGTTTTTAAATGAATGTAATAGTTTATAAGAAAAAAGGAGGCTATCGTCTCTTCTCTTGCCCTGGTCCTCCACGCACAATACTAAGAAAGAAGGGGGAGACGTTTAATGGTGGTGGAAGTCTGTGAGTCAGCAGTTTGCTGGGACTTCCTGTTTGTTTCCTGTTGGGTTTATCTTAGTTAGTGTAGGAAGTAGTCTGTAAACATCTTTATTTGTGTATGTGTGTGAGAGACAGAAAGCCATAGAAAGCTAGCATGACATGAAATAAAGTCCTATATATTTTATTGGCTATATCTGGGTGAAGGGATATATGCAAGGATGAATTGATTAATGAGTACATATTAATTGGGTGCTAATTTCTCTCTCATAAATTAGCACATAATTAATGATGGCCCTAGTCACATTTCCAGTTGTTGCTCTGAAACATTTGTTTTCATGAAAACTTCGGCCTGGTTAAGTCCTTTAGTAACTATTTGTAGAAGATAAGAGTTACGAGTTTTACAAATAGAGCAGCAGTGTCTAAGAGAAACAAAATACAAGCCACATATGCCATTTAACAATTTTCCAGTAGCCACATTAAGAAAAGGAAAGAGAAAAACTTGAAACTCATCGTATTTTAACTAAGATATTCAAAATACCATTTCAACCTATAATTCAAATAAAAATATTAATGGGCTATTTCACACTTTTTTTGTGTTCAGATGCTAAAATACAGTGTGCTATCTTATACTTACTGCATATCTCACATTGTACTAGCCACATTTCCATTGCGTAATGGTCACATGCAGGTTAGATTCTGTGTTAAACAGCACAGAGACATCCCACTCCTATTCCACAGCACTGAGAAGTTCTTCCTACAGCATAGATAAGCTCTGGTGGTGTAGTGGCTAAAGTGTTCGGCTGGTAACCGAAAAGTTGTCAGTTCGAATCCACCAGGTGCTCTATGGAAGAACAAGTGTTAGTCTGCTCCTTTAAAGATTACAGCCTTGGAAACCCTATGAGGCAGTTCTAATCTGAGTGACTATGAGTCAGAATCATGACAACATATAAGGACATACACATGAGAGACCTTCAAAAAGTTAGAGGAAAATGGAATGAAAAGAAAATGGAATTTTTCCAATAACTTTTTGAATCCTCATTTTATATGTATGTGTATATATACAGACACACATAATGTATACATATATATTATTGTTGTAGTTGTTAAGTATATATATTTATATACAAAAATCCTCACCACTGGACCAATAAACAACATTCTTATCAACGGAGAAGAGATTGAAGTTGTCAAGGACTTCATTCTTCTTGGATCAGCTATCAACATTCGCA